TGTGTGTGTGTGTGTGTGTGTGTGTGTGTGTGTGTGTGTGTGTGTGTTATGTGACCCAACTGCATCCAGCAGACAGAAAATATAAAGTGATTGAGTTTTACAGATAATGATCACTCATTCCAAGTCAGGGGTTCTTCCACCACGTGTGCTAAAGACAGACTTATTCATTATTTGACACAAGGCTGCAAAAAGAGTTTTTAACTTGACCTGGATGACTTTGCCAGAGGTCTATCCATGGTGGGGGGCACCACAGGCTGTGACCTTGGACACAGGTTTTAATGCATGCGGTTGTTCTACAAACTTGTACTTGTACCATTTCTGGCCACAGATGTTTGAACAAATGGACTTGTAAGGAGAAGCTACGTGGTGCATTTTATTATTTAAAAAAAAATCTGTGATGATGTGCAATCTTACACTCTACTTATCAAAATATATTGCTGATACTTAAACAACACATTTTGCATACATCTATAAATTAGACTTTTATTTCTGCCACTTTGATAAAATTGTTTAAAATTGGACCATTTAACTTTAATTATGTTACCATAATTGATGCCAAAAACACTTGATTAAAAAGAAAAGTATAAGAATGTTTTGGAGGTGATTTTGGTTGTTGCAACTTACTTTGGCACCAGATATAATAAATATTTATTTTATTGAAAGTATAGCTTAAGCTGTTTTCACTACCGTTAGGATTGTTTGTCCATCACTGTGGGTTAAAAATCTTAGACGCACACATATTCATTCAACCTTTATTCATACAGGTTAATCCCATTGAGCCTCGGGGACTCATTTACAAGAGACACCTGGAGTTTAACAAAGAGTGATGACAACAGTGGATTACAATAGACAATCATGAGGATGCCTACAAATATTTTTTTCATATAAATTTATATATTTTTTAGTTGATACTGAATACAGTCTTGAATAAACAGAACTGCTATCTTTATTTATTTATTTTTAATTGGAAGGTGCCAACATATGATGGCTGTTTTTGGAAGCTTTAATAAAGAGGTCAAATGGGTTTTGTGGTTTTATTTCTGCCAGACTTTCCTTTTTCTTTTTTTATGTTATTGGCTCTAGTCAGACTTCATACATTTCACCTTCTGGCATCATTTTCTCACAGGAAGTCGTTTTCCTCTGAACACTTCACTTGCCTGGTGGAGTGAGTGTGTCCATTTCGTCCCCAGTGCAGGATCTTTGTGGAGCAGAGACAAAGAGGGCGGATGCTGGGTGGGGTGGGGGGGGGTGTCTGCAGCCTGCAGGCCCCTCCTCTCTGCATAATGTGCCGGGCTCATTGAAACAGGCAGACAGCAGAACCAGACGGGAGATCCCAAAAGTGTCCCGCACTCGGGGCTGCAGGATGACTGGGAGCAGAAGGGACCTGTGAGGGAGTGGAGGAACAAAAACCAACTTGTACATGAATCTGAAACGGATGGAGGTGATTCTGGAGCGCAGCTTGGTCCTCTCCTCCTCAGCTGTGGGACCTTGAAGAGTCGGAAAATTAAAGAGAGGACTCTTAAAGATGGACTCTTTCTTTGTAGAGGTGAGTTGAGCCGCTTTATGCTCACATTCAAGCAGTTTTCAGTCACCTGTGTTTGAAGGGAGGGTCCTGATGGAGTGTGTGGTGGTGGTGGTGGGGTCTTTCTTTTGTTTTGTTCTGGCACCCCATCACTGTGCCCTTTATCGGACGGGGTTCAGCTCTATTCTTTTATTTCTTATTTAAATAAGTTTTCTTAATCACAGAAGATTTTCTTTCCAGTTCACTTGGTTTTGGAGGCTTGTTCGGGTTCAGTCAGGATGTGCTGGAGTGTCTGATCCATTCAGAACCAACACAAAACACTTAAATCCTTTCATTTATGGAAACACTATAACCTGACTGGATCACCGCCTTATTCTGTGCTTCATATTAACGTTTTTTTTTTTTAATATATAAAAGCAGAACTCTGATGTGTCATCAAGCAGTCAGGTCAGACAAGGTTCTGCAAAGACTGGCTTTGGGTCTGATTTGTCATCCCTCTGACTCAGGAGGGCCCACACACAGAACAGGAGCAACTTTCCTCCTATGATCCACCACATAGAGCTCTGCAGCCCCTCCTGACCCTCACTGATGTTCTGACGCAATCATCAGTGTGTTTTTACCACCCGAGCTTCTACAGAACTTTTTCTGGTTTTATCATTAATACAGATTTAGTATGGTTTCTCTTTGCTGCGCATATGATCATTTTTAGATTTATATTCATAATATTGTCTGATGATGCGAAACAGGAATCTGAGTCATGAAAATCTGTGCATTTTTCATCATTTTTGTCATAAAATTACCTGACAGGACTGTGGTATTCATTCTGAATTAATTTATTATAACAATAGATCCATCCAGTATCTTTTAGCTGCTTCTTTCTTTTTGGGTCACGGGGTCACTGGTGCCCAGCTATCACTGTACGAGAGGCAGGGTACACCCAGGACGGGTCGCAAGTCCATCACAGATAACAATAGATCATATTTTTTTAACTTAAACTTTGGGTTAATCCCCTCTTTGTAAAGCTTTTGTGTTGTGAACAGATGATCTGATTTTATTGGAGTGATATGCTGCGCAGATAAAGATGATTTATTCAGTTTAATTTTCAGTTTGTCCTGTATGTTTTGGTCCATCTGTGTGGGATTTCATTTAAAGATTCATCTGATTTTACTGCCTATTTTTGTTTGTATGTACAGCTGTTTTCAGTTCTGCAGTATAACAAATATAAAATAGTTTTATTCTTGCCTTAAGGGACAAAATCCTGTATTTACATAAAAACAATAGTTTTTACTAACATTTTTATCTTTTTTTTTTACCTTGCATTAAAAATCACAACTGTCATTCACATGTTTAAATTGTCATATTTTTAAACAAACTAATGTTTATTGACCATATTTGAAATGACATTGAACCATCTGCAGTATTCTTCACTTGGTTTGATACAATCTGATCAGAAAACAAACTTTAGTTCATTTTTCCTTTGCTTAGTAGAAATGTAAAATAGAAAATCCTGAGTTGTAATCTTTTATCAAAATAGCACAAAATGTTTTAAAAGGAAGCAAGTAAAGATATAAAGTAACAACAGACAATGTAACATTTCAGAAAACCCAGTAATAATTTGAAATCAAACCATTTGAGAACAAAATATGTAGAAAAAAATGGCATTTTTTTAAAGTAATGTTTCAGAAAACTCAGTATTTAATACAGAAATTACTAATAAATGTTATTTTTTAATATTGTTTGGTTGTGTTTGCTTACTCGACTCTGCAATATTGCGTGGACATCGGGGGCAGTTCCCCATGATTGGAAGACTGTGGTGGTGGTCCCCCTATTCAAAAAGGGGAACTACAGGGGGATCACGCTGTTAAGCCTCCCTGGTAAGGTCTATTCAGGGGTTCTGGAGAGGAGGGTCCATTGGATAGTCGAACCTCAGATTCAGGAGGAGTAATGCGGTTTTCGTCCTGGTCGTGGAACGTCGGACCAGCTCTACACTCTCAGTAGGGTCGCTTTGTGGACTTGGAGAAGGCGTTCGACCGTGTCCCTTGGCCTGGTCCGCATTGCCGGCAGTAAGTCGGGCTCGTTCCCAGTGAGAGTTGGACTCCATCAAGGTTGCCCTTTGTCACCGATTCTGTTCATAACTTTTATGGACAGAATTTCTAGGCACAGCCAAGGTGTTGAGGGGATCCATTTTGGTGGCTTTAGGATCACTTCTCTTCTTTTTGCAGATGATGTGGTCCTATTGGCTTCATCAGGTCGTGATCTACAGCTTTCACTGGAGTGAATCGCAGCAGAGTGTGACGCGGCCTGGATGAGGATCAGTTCATCTAAATCCAAGGCCATGGTCTTGAGCTAGAAAAGGGTAGAGTGCCCTCTCCGGGTCGGGGAGGAGGTCCTGCCCCAAGTGGAGGAGTTTAAGTATTTTGGGATCTTGTTCACAAATGAGGGAAAAATGGAGCGTGAGATCGATAGGCGAATAGGTGCAGCATCTGCAGGGAAGCGGGCGCTGTACCGGTCTGTCGTGGTGAAGAGAGAGCTGAGCGGTAAGGCAAAGCTCTCAGTTTACCGGTTGATCTACGTTCCTAACCTCATCTATGGTCATGAGCTTTGGGTTGTGACAGAAAGAATGAGATCACAGATACAAGCGGCCGGAATGAGTTTTCTCCGCAGGGTGTCTGGGCTCTCCCTTAGAGATAGGGTGAGAAGAAGCTCGGTCATCCGGGAGGGACTCAGAGTAGAGCCGCTGCTTCTCCACATCGAGAGGAGCCAGTTGAGGTGGCTCGGGCATCTGGTTAGGATGCCTCCAGGGGAGAGGGAAGTCTGGGCCTTAGGCTGCAACCCCCACGACCCGACCCCGGATAAGCGAAAGAAAATGGATGGATGGATGGTTATTTTTGAAAACTATTTAATTTTAAAGCTTTGTGTTTTCTATTTGAGTCAAAGTCAAAGTTTATTTGTTTGTCATTCACATCATATGTGGTACATGTGGTGGCACAAAATTGTGAACTCAGGGTCCCAGTTACATCCAACAAAAGTATAAAATGTAAAAGAAAAACAGTAATAAGATCTAAGAAACTAGGAAAAATGTTAAACTATTTTAGAGTCTTCTTTAATTTTTCTCACTTTTCTTAATTTTTTTTTTTTTAGAAGTTTTGCACTTTAGAAATAACAGCTGTACAACTAAACAATCTTTATGACATCTACAAATGGCAAAAGTAAAGGGAAATGTAACAAAACAGTCAAATCTGCTCCAGTCCGTTAATATCTCTTACCAAATCCATGCATGAACTGTCCTCGTTCTGTGAATGACCTTTGGTTTCATGGAACGAAGCCAAGCTCTTAAACACCGCAGAGTGTGGATTTAATAAAGCTGGAATTCTGGAAGCCAAACAAACCCAAGATTAAACTAAACTCTGTGAAACAAGTGAAGCAGGGGAAACCTTTGACACCATTTATTAATGCGAGTCTCAGAGTCTGCTGCTGACAACCAGCAACACATCAGTAACACGGTTTGTCCTTTTAATCCTAAATGGGTAGTTCAGATTTTAGGTTCTGTGGAAAAATTAGGGATAAAACACATTTCCCCTTTGCCATTCCTTTTGAAATCATGAAAGCGAATGAGCTCTGTATCCACCAGTGGATCATCCTTAACAGTTTCAAACCATTGAGCCAGTTTTCAGTGTAAAACTACAGTTCTAGTTCTTCTGAAGCTATTTTTTGTCTTATTAATGGACACACAGTCAAGATCATTTTTAGCAGTAATGTTTCCTTAAGCTGTGTTTGTCAAGCCTAATAACATATTTGCTTCAGTGATGCACTGATACCACATTTTCTCAAAACGAGTACAAGTTCTTATGTTAGAGTACTAGCCGATACCCAGTACCAATATGAGTATTAATACATTTTATTACACTTTTCACAACTACTTTGAAAATGTTCATGAGCTTACTGTGCTCCTCAAACTAAGATGGGGCCGACATAATGTAGAGGCAGGGCAGCCGACTTGGGACCAGAAAGTCGTAGGTTCAACTCCCCACCATGTTCACATTAGGTGTCCTTGAGCAAGACACCCAACTGCTCCCCAGGTGCGTACTACCCACTGCTCCACCTGGGTGTATGTTGTGATGGGTTAAATGCAGAGAACTAATTTCGTCATTGTACTGGAACAAACAATGATGACACCACATAGCACTTAATTACTTTATTATTATTTATTATTATTATGAAACAGAGGACAGCAAAAGCATTTTCCAAACCCCCCCTTCTAGCAAGCGGTAAGACAAGATCTGCTGAATGAGGGACTACCCGTAGTTCTTTTATTCTACGTTCACAAACTCTTTGAGCTTGTTGTTGACTTAATATTTTAGACATCTCATCAAATTGCTTGTGTTGAAAATGCTTTAATCTTATCACTTTTTATCAACAACTTTTCTGAACATAATTTGCTTTATTTTCGACATCATTGATCACATTGAAATACCGTTTGACAACTCCTCCTATACCTCCTGATTGCGCACCATAAGGGGTGCTATCGTTTGGAATACGTTTACGAATACAAGTATGAGTATTAGATATGCCAGTATGGGTGTATACCCACCTTGTACCTTGGGTGCTGCTGAATTTAAAACTGCATTACTCATTAAACTTTTGGGTTTTCTTTCTAACATTAATGCCTACTATGTTTCTGAAATATGTGACATGCGCATGATGGTGACGATAGTTTCTGGGAGGTAATAGTCAAAAGGAGTGGCACCTACGAGGGCGTGTGCTCGCAGATTCATCCTGAACACTCATCCTGTCCATCAGCGAAGGCTCCTAGGAGCTGACAGGACACCATAAAACTCTCTGCACCTTTGCTCCACACCCAGCCTGCCCTCTGAGTGGATCTGACCCCAACAAATGGATTCAAAAACGCTCGGAGCACCAGAGATCGGTTTTATAACCGGCAGGCATTTAGGATTTGGTCTTTCACACGTTAGAATACATAAATACTTTGGTTTTGTGTGACATTGTTTGTTTTTGTATTTGAA